CCCTCCCCTCTCCCCTCTGGTCACTGTCAGCCTGTTTTCTATTTCAGTGTCTTTGGTTATATTTTGCTTGTTTGTTTGTTTTGTTGTTTAGGTTCCTGTTAAAAGTGAGATCATATGGTATTTGTCTTTCACCACCTGGCTTATTTCGTTTAGTATAATGCTCTCCAGTTCCATCCATGCTGTTGCAAAGGGTAGGAGCTCCTTCTTTCTTTCTGCTGCATAGAATTCCATTGTGTATAAGAGCTCTTTTACAAATTAGCACTACCACCAGAGGTAGGAAATACCACACCACACACGTGGGCATCCAGATGGAGCCAAGCAGAAACCAACCCCCAGCCTCCTTGTACACTTTCACCCATGAGACTGCTAATAAAGTTACCCACTCAGAGGGCTAAGGCTTCTCCTTTTTGGTTTTGGTGGAGAAGACCCTTAACCTCACTGAGGCCATGGGCTGGATGTTGGGCCAGGGTGCTTCTCCGGCTGTTTTTCTCCTTGTTTAACTCCCCCCTCGCTCTCCTTCTCTTGGCTCTTAGGAACCGAACGGCAGAGGTGGGCGGGCTCTGAACTGCGTCTAGGGCTCTGCACGCCCCTGGTTTCCCCAGGAAACATGGGACGAGAGGAACTGCTCGACGTCCCCGTGGCACCGAGTTACCCAAGTGGCATCGCAGGCTGATCTGCCTGTCCGGCCGCATCACCTCTCACGTTCTTCTTTCCTTCTGATCACACAGTTTCGGTTTAACCTGCAGGAGGAGGTCGGGATTAAAAAGAATATCCTGTCAGGCTCTGAATTTCAGCTTGTCAGACCTCAACCAGGACAAACGGAGAATATTTCTGGCAATATCACACAACTCGATGGCCTTTAGAGAGTGCGGAGGTTATTATCCTCCAGAACATCCCCTCTGAGGGCGAAAAGAAAGAACTGACAGCCTGCTGGTCTCAGGCAGACAGACAGACAGACAGACAGATGTGCCAAGTCCTTGGGACCCCGGGAGGAAAGGGCCAAAAACAAAACCCCTAAGAGCACTCATTCCAAACAACCAAGAGTCCCCGTGTCCAAAGAGCTAGTGCCACAGGTATTTATTTCCTCCTTGTCTACGTTCTGAACAGGACACTCACCGCTCGGCCTCCGTGCGCTCTGCAGGTGGAGACCAGGAGTCGGACTCGGCGAGAATTCCCATCTTTGCCGGCTCACGCGAGGGGTCCCAGGACCCTTCTACTGAGCAGCTTCGGTGGGGGAGTTGGGGGCAGGGCCCAGCCGGTGAGGGTCCTGCTCACAGTCACGAGGTTGTCTGTGGCCACGGAGACTTTCCAGATGACCGAGAACCAGGGCTGTCGTGAGTTCTCCTCGCTCCTCTTAACTCCCCGCTTCTCAAGACCAACGCGCTGACGTGTCCCGGGGTGACAAGAGCTGCCAGTCAGCCTTAGGTACCCAATAAAAAGCTTCCCACACTCCCCGTGGGCCTGCCCCATCGAGGTGAAGGAACGTGTCCACGGGCACGAGACCTTGCGGCCACCCCGCAAGTGAAGCCTGCCCTACCCCACATTAAAAAACCTGAGAGTGGAAAGTGTATTATGAAATTTAGATATAATTTACATGCCATAAAATTCACCCTTTTGCGTGTATACGGTTCGTGCCCTGGCTGGTGCCGTGGGCCAGCTCCCCTGCTGGGGGCACGTGAGGGGCAGCCGGTGGGTGTCTCCCCCCCCCCGCTCTGTCCCCCTCCCTCTAAAAGGAAATACACAAAATCCTTAAAGTGTATTCCAGTTTGGTGATTTTTAGAATGTTTGAAGTTGTGTGGCCATCAGCGCTAACCCCAGAATAATCTGTCTCTAAGACCTGTGGAGTTTCGGTTTTTCTTTAAGATTCATTTATTTATTTTTTAGAGAGAGGGGAAGGGAGGGAGAAAGAGAGGGAGAGAAACATCCCTGTGTGGTTGCCCGTCACATCCCCCTGCCCCCGACACTGGGGACCTGGCCCGGAACCCGGGCGTGTGCCCTGAACTGGCGACCCTTTGGTTCACAGGCCAGCACTCAGTCCACTGAGCCACACCACCGGTGATAACACCTGCAGAGCTTTAAAATGTAGGGTTACCGTTGGTTTCGGGTCCACCTGTGGACCAGACAGACACGTGGTGGCGCCTCCCGCCGGTCGGTAAGGCCAGCGGACTGACCCCGGGAGGACAGAAATAACAGCTGCGTTCCCACGCGAGCTGCCGAGGTCAGTGCCCCAGAGTTACCCTGGGGTGGCGACTCAGCCAGCCCGGCTCAGGACACCCTCCTCCCACCGCGCGCCCACACTCCCATGACAGCCCCTGAGACCCAGGGCTGGAGTCCACTGCCCCGAGGGCCGGGCCTTCCAGGGGACGTTGGCCTTTGGTCAAGACGCCAGTCCAAGAGGAGGCAGGCTCAGTCCCGTTAGCCTGTCCCCTGAGAGCCAGGTCGCCTCCTGCACCTTTGTGCATGGACGCGGGGATCTGTGGTTCTGTGAGAAGGCCGCGGGAACCGTGGCTGGCGGCTCCCTTCTGGGATTCTTTTAAACGTGGCCTTTGGGTGGGTTAGATGCTCGCGAGGGCAGCTGACGCGTGCACCGGCCCGCAGTGTCTGTGGCAGCGTTATGGGTGAGACGACATATATTCACACGGACTACCGAGTCTCGTGCAAGGAAAGGGACAGCACGACTTCTCTCTCAGGGGGAGAGCGCCCCAGCCCTTGCCTGGAGAAGTTTTCATTGGATTCAGTTGGCAGAGGAATACAGGGTGTATACATAAAGCTCATTAATCATTACCAGGCAGTGAGGATCAAACAATAGATAACATACAAAGAACTCCGAGGGCCTATTCAGAGTCAGGGTCAGACAGCTAAAGGGCCATAAAACTTTGGGGAACAAACTTACTTCCTGTTCGGACCCTTATCATTTAATTAAGAGCATTCTAAACAAAGCAGGTTTCACAGAATTTTATGAATTCTTTCTTAGGCCTGATTGCCCTAGGGGACCCGCCCTTTCCAGCACAGGGCTGCACCACCCTCTGTCATTGTTTCAGGCTTAGGTCAGGCAGGGGAAGTAAGGCAGCCAAGAGATTAGAAGACTTCTCGCAGGCAGAATGAGGACTCAGGCTGTGTCAAATCCAAGGGGCGAGGGTCCATCATACCCTTTTGCTACAGCCCCCCAAGTCTTTCCCTGAGGAGCCCTTCATGACCATGCCTGTCTTAGGTCGTCCCTCCTTTGAGGGATCTTACCCATCATTGGCTAACCGATCATGCACTGGGGGCCAGGCAGGGTGAAGTACAAGAGGCAGAGGCACCCCACTCCCCACCAGGGAGATAAGCTTTGTCTCCTTAGTGGCTTATAGTCCCAAGGTCGCTCACTCAGCCTTGGCCATGGGGGCGGTTCCAGCTCCTGAAACCAGGCAGGGGGGCTCCCAACAGGCAGCAGCACAGCGCTGCAGACCCTGGCCTCCAGGGCTCGGGGGAGGTCAGAGGTCAGACAGGCTCCACGAGTCTGCACCTGCTCTCCAGGTTCCCGTCCCCTCCCTCCGCCCCGCCCCTCCAGGGAAGTGAGAGAGAACAGAACCGACTCTTCCCCCCACAGTGGCCAGGTGATATTTTTGGAGTCAGGTCCCGTCGTGCCCCAGCTCCAAGCCTCCTGACCACGAGTCACACTCTGGGTGAAGTGCCAGCTGCACCCCGGTCCCTCAGGTTCCCCTCCCTCCATCGGCCCTGACTGCGGCCTCAGGCGGGGCCTCAGCCAGGCTGCATTCGGCCTGCTCGGGCCCTGCCGTCTTCCGTCCTGGCGAACCTGCCCGCCCCTCAGGGTGCCCTCCCTGCTCCCAGGCCTCCCGACCCGACCGGAGTCACCTCTGTCGTCCCCTGACCACACACATACGGGCTCCCACATGCACGTGTGTGCTCCCACACACGGATGACTGTTCTTTCCAGAACATGTCAGCACCAGCATTACACTGTATAACAGTTTAGCTGATTATTCCTTTGTCCCTCCCAGAACAGACGCCCCCGGAGGGCAGGGAAGCTCCTGGTCACCATCTGTGCCTAGAGCCCAGATGAACCCTGGGGCGGGGCCGAGGGCTGCTCCGGGCTTCCCGAAGCTTCCTGGCTCTCCTAGCCTGAACGGACATTGCGAATGATCGCGTCCGTAGCTGAGTGACTTGCGACAGGTCGCTCTTTTCTGTGTCTCCACCTATTCTTCCAAGTAATGGTGCCAACCCCAGGCCCGGTGCTTCTGTCTGTCACGAGCATCTGTTGGTGACAGAGTCTTTCCTCTAAGTCAGCTGGGCAACTGCTCGGCCAAGGAGTAGACAAGAGTCACGCACAGTAACTACGCTGTTCACTGAGCATCTATTGAATGCAGGGTCACTCAGAGTAGATCAGTGCACGTTACTATCCTGCTCACATGCTAACAATCTAAGAGGAATGTAACACACACACACACACACACACGGCAATCAGCAGGGGATAAGGAACCCGAGTCCCAGGGTCTCCATCTGCAGGTCCGGGGGTTGGCACCATGGGCACGGGAGTCGTCAGCGTCCTGCAGGGAAGGACCCCCAGAGCCAGTGGGCAGCAGGGCAGGCAACGTCCTCGGTCCAGCAGGGCAGAGCCTCTGGCGGCCGATGACAAGGGAGACGGGCGTGGCGGGAGCTGCACTCTGGGGTGTGGAGCTCAGCTGTCTCCGCAGCGGTCTGGAGCCTGCCTCAGTGATACCTTGAGAGTGGTGCACTCCGCCCCTCTGGGTCCTTTCGATAAATGTCTTGGCACCCCTGACGGCAAGTGGGGGATGTGCCCAGGAGCCTATGGGTGGTACACGCCTGTTCTGCTCGACGCCCCTGCTGGCCAGTGTGTGATTTCCCCAGGGGCCTAGCTGTGGGTGGTCCCGCTCCGCTGACACAGCCCCTCTGACCACGAGTGCAGATATCGTAGTGTGTCTCCTGCCACACATTTCTTTTTTTTTTTAAAGATTTTATTTATTTATTTTAGAGAGGGAAGGGAGGGAGAGAGAGAGAGAAACATCAATTTGAGGTTGCCTGCAACCCAGGCATGTACCCTGACTGGGAATCGAACCTGCGGCACTTCCTTGCCACAAAGTTATGCTCCGACCACGTGGGCAGACCTGTCTCCTTGCCACAAGCGCTTACTCTGACTTAGGGAATTTTCCTCGGGAACCGAAGTGTCATGGCCGACAGACAGCCGTTTCAGTTAGCATAAGCGACTCCACTTTATTTTGTATGCTTCATGCTGTCTTAACCCGACCAATGCCATTTTACTGGTCTTGCCCTCCACACTGTCAAAGCCCCTCCCCCAACCCACCTCCCAAACAGGTGACCCCAGCAGCCTCCATCACCAACAAGGTGCCCTCACTGGCTGCGGGGTGCCAGGCAGCCACTGTCAGGCCACCTAGCTTGGGGGTGGAGAGCCCCAAAGACCTCGATGGCCCTGGGTGCCACAGGAACATCACTGCCTCAGCCTTCAGGGCGCCCCAAGGTCCGGTGCCGCAGCAGGGTGGGGTGGGGTGGGGTGGGGTCAGCGCCACACCAGCTGAGGCCCGTTTATTGCCAACATGTGAAGGTCAGAACCTAGGGGCCCAAGGTGGGTCCTGGGTCTGGAGGCTTTGGACACGGGTGCAGCAGAACCACGATTGGGGGCACAGGAGGAGTGGGGATCCGGGGGCGGGGTCCGGGGAGCGGTCAGGGCATCGCGGTCCCGGTCCCGAGCAGCAGCAGCAGCAGCAGCGCCCCGGCCAGCAGGACCAGCGAGGGGTTGCCACAGGGCCCGGGGCGCGCCGCACCTCTCAGGCCGCAGGCCGTGTAGGGCTCCAGGCAGGCGGCGAAGGCCATGATGTGCGCCACGAAGTGCTGCTCCTGCACGCCGTGAACCAGGTGCGCCTGCGGACCGCGCGCGAACACCACCACGTCCTCGCCGCCGTGGGTCTCGGACGACAGGCCCACGGCCGCCTGCTGCTTGTACTCCGGGTCCCCTGGACAGACGATGAAGGTTCGGAACCCACCGGCGGGCGGGCGGGCAGCCCCCCACCCCCCCGGGAGTTCCCCGCCGTGGTCGCCTCGCCCGCCCCACATGGTGCACTCACCGCTCACGCTGTCGTTGACATCGGGCCGGGAGCCCCCGCTGATGGCGTAGCCGGGGCCATTGCCATAAAGGATGGAGGTGTAGCTCTTGTTGTCTGAGGCCAAGGAAGGGGCCAGACCTGCGGGGAGGAGGGGACTGGAGTGGCGCCGCCACAGCCCTGCAGCGCCCCCTGTCGGCTAAGCCCGGCACCGCGTGCCTCTTCAGTGGCTGCATCTGCCCAAGAACCCTGCGAGGTCATTGCTATCCTGACCCCCTTTGACAAAAGAGCCAGCTGAGGCCCAGCGCATCTGCTGCCACGAAATCCGGGAGACAGCACCTGCCACCCCCCCCACCCCCGGCCTACCGAAAATGGAGCTGCCACGCAGAGTGTAGCCACCAAAAGTGAAGACGTGCGAGTGGTCGGCGGTGATGAGGGTCAGTGTGTCCTTCTCGCTTGTGAGCTGGCTGGCCTTGCTAATGGCGTCATCAAAACTGACAGCCTCATTGAGTGCCAGATAAGCTTTGCCTGCGTGATGACCTTGGTCAATGCGACCCCCTGCAGAGAGACCACGGGGGAGGGAGGTGGGTGATGGGCGGCCTGCCCTGGGTCCCCTCCCCGCCCTGCTCAGCCAGGGCGCTGCCACCCACTCACCCTCCACAAAGAGGTAGAAGCCTCGGGGGTTCCTGCTCAGCACGCGCAAGGCCGCCTCCGTCATCTCCGTCAGGCTCGGGTCCCGCACGGGGTCTCGGTACACCTCGTACTTCATGTCCTCGGGCTCAAAGAGGCCTGTGGGCACAGGGGGTGACCGGCCGCTGTGGGGTGGGGGCCCCCCCCACACACACACCCGAGCACAGGAGCACCCCCAGCTGAGGCCCCGGCGGGCGGGGCAGGGAGCTGGGGACCGGGTGGGGGCGGGGCAGGGAGCTGGGGGCGGGGCTATTACCCAGGAGGTGGGTCACAGAGGCGTCCTGGGAGGCCTGGATGAGCGCCGTTCGGTTCCACACATACCGGCCAGCCTGGGAGGGACAGGCCCAGGCTTCAGAGCACAGCCCCAGGATCAGCGGCCCTGCCTTCTCCCTGCTCCACCCCCTGCACCCACGAGCCCCCTCACCGGGTGCTTGGTCTGCCACTCCTGAACCAGGTCCCGCTTGTCCAGCCTGACCCCGCTCTGCGTGGCTTCACCGGGGTACTCGGGGTCAGTGGTCCCGTTGGGAAACATGTACTTGCGGCCGCCACCCAGGATCACCTGGAGCCCGAGGATCAGGGCAGGTGAGCTTGGGGCTGGCCGGCCCTTTGCCCCTGACCCGACAAGCCCTGGGTCCCCTGCCTGGTCTGTGGCGGTGACCCAGCTGGGCTGCACCTCTACACCATCCCACGGGTCCTGAGGCCAGGCCAGGCCCCAAGACTCAGGCTGGGGTTGCCTGGGACTGTGGCCTGTGTGGTGGGTCCCTCGTCCCCTGCCCAGGCCCCCACCGCCCTCCGTGACTCACGTCAATGTCCACATTGGAGATGAGCTGCGTGGCGATGTCCTTGCACCCCTCCTTCAGCGCCTCTGGGGGCATGTCCGCATCTGAGTACCACTCGCGGTTCACCACGTGTGCGTAGGTGCCGGCTGGAGAGGCGTGCTGGACCCTGGTTGTGGTCACCACGCCCACTGACTTCCCTGGGGGTGGCAGGGGGCAGGGTGAGCCACGAGGTCTCTGAGCCCGACCCCTGCCCCCTCGGCAGCCCCCAGCGCACCTGCATTCTTGGCCCGTTGCATCACGGAGGTGACCTCGTTGTCCCATGTGGTGTTGCACTGGTTATATCGGGCTGCCGCGCTCACACCGATGGTCTGGTAGTTGGCCTTGACTCCACACAGGTAGGCTGTGGCCGTGCCCGCGCTGTCTGGCACTTGTCTGTCCACATTGTATGTCTGGGGACAGAGACACCTGGTCCCAGATCGTGACCAGGCCCCGAGCCCCTACCTCCGGCCTCCTCCCACCCTGGGCCTTCCCTCCTGCCAGACCCTAGGGCCACCGCACCCTGTGGTGTGGGGCAGCCTGAGGCCCCCAGCCCTTACCTTGGCCAGAGCCGTGTATGGGAACTGGTCCATGGCCAGGGGCGTCTCGGGTCCCAGACTGCCATTCTTCTGTCCCTTTAGGATTCGAGCTGCTGTCACCGTGGTCACCCCCATCCCTGAAGGGACAGACCCTGTCAGGCCCGAGTCCCCAGGGATGGCTGTGTGCAGAGGTGGGCTTGGGGGCCTGGCTTTGGGGGGCTGGGCGGCCATGCACACTCACCGTCCCCCAAGAAGAGGATGAGGTTCTTGGCGGCCGTCTGGATGGGCTGTAGCTTCTTGACGGCGTCCAGGGTCTGGGCTGCTTGGTGGTTCCAGAAGGCTGGGTCCTCCTCCTCAGCTGGCCAAGGGGACAGGGAGGTCAGGTCAGCCTTGGGGGAGTGCCTAGCATGTGGGTACCGGCGGGGAGCTCCCTGTTACCTGGGATGACGCCGAGGGAGAACTGGAGCCTCAGGCCCAGGAGCAGCAGCACCCAGGCGCCCTGCATGGCTGTGGGGTGGCAGCAAGGTGGGGGCGCTGGGACTCCAGAGGGGCCGGGACCCTGGTGAGGCTGGGACTTGGGTGAGGCTGAGACACCAGGGGACCAGCTGGGGTGAGAGCTGTTGAGGCTTAGACCAGGGAGAACTTTATCCCCGGCCGTAAAAGGCTGCATGTCCCTCCCAGTGCCCAGGTCCACTCCAACCCCGCCCCTGTCCCGCTGGCAGGTGGGAGGTGGCAGGGTGTGACTAAGTCTCTAGGTACATTTCCTGAGCAGGCCGGGCCATCCTGAAGCCACAGGCCACAGGTGTCTCCCAGAGTACAGTGGGGACAGGGGCAGGAGCCCTCTGGGGGAGAAGCGTGTGCTGAGGCCCGATGGGGCCACCCCTGCCCCTGCTCCCACAGTCTGGGGCCCTGCCCTTCCTCCAACCACCTCATCTTGTTCTGTGTTCTCTTCGAGCCCGTGGGCCAGGCTTTGTTCTGGGTGCAGCGTGGGGGTTGGGGGGAGGGTGTGTGGGCCAGTCAGGGGATAGTGACCTCGCAGGCCATCTTGTCATAAACCCACGACCTGGCAGTCCCTGGCGAGCACTCACTTCCTTAGCAAAAGGTGTATCTTTGCCTCGAGCAAGTCCTGCCCGTTGTCTCTGGGCGCCTGAGTTAACTCACCTCCGAAATGTGTCTTTTCAGACCCCTCAGAAGCAAAACCGCCGTCCAGAGAGCACGGGGCCTTGTCAGCCCTCTGGTAACTGGTCCCCTGCAGTACCCCCCCCCCCCCCCCCACTTTCTCCCACCTCCCTGTCATCTTCCTGGAGTTTCCTCCTTACTTCCCAACGCATAGAGTGCACTGCCGCTCTACGAAGCATTCTTGTTTTCAGCCCGTTGAGACCTTGCCTCCAGATGTCCCCTTGTGCAGCTCAGGTTCTTTTTACGGAAGCTCTCTACAGGCCTGGGCAGAGCTACGTGGGCACTGCGCTGGCGCGGCTCCCGGGGTTCCGAGCCAGCCCGCCCAGGACCGCCGGGCAGACACAGGCTGGTGGTCGGTGGCAGCCGCTGGCCTGCCAGAGTCCTGAAGGGCTGGCTGGAATTAAGCCCATTGTACGAGATTACTTTAAAAGGGGTTTGTAATCCCATGCAGGAGCCCCTATAATTCTCCCATCTTTCCAGTAAAGAAACCTAATGGAGCCCTGGCTGGTGTGGCTCCGTGGATTGAGGCCAGCCTGCGAGCCGAAAGATCTCTGGTTCGATTCCCAGTCAGGGCACATGCCTGGGTTGCGGGCCAGGTCCCCAGTTAGGGACGTGTGAGAGGCAACCAATCGATGTTTCTTTCACACATGGATGTTTCTCTCCCTCCCTCCTCTCTTTCTAAAAATAAATACATAAAATCATTAAAAATAAATAAATAAGCCCTGGCTGGCGTAGCTCATTGGATTGAGCACGAGCTGTGAAGCAAAGCATCGCAGGTTCGATTCCCAGTCAGGGCACATGCCTGGGTTGCAGGCCACGGCCCCGAGCAACCGCACATTGATGTCTCTCTCTCTCTCTCTCTCTCTCTCCCTCCCTTCCCTCTCTAAAAATAAAATAAATAGAATCTAAAAATAAATAAATAAATAAATAAATGACTAAATAAAAGACACCTAACGGAAAAGGATGGAGCTCTGTACAGAATCTCAGAGCTATAAGCAGAAGTTACGACAGACATCCCGTGTCTCCAACCCACGTTCCCTGCCATCAGCCATTGCTTGGACTACCAGTGTCTCTCATGCGGTTTACGTAGAGCCTCTTGCAGCGTTTCTGTAGAAGGAGACAGTCGACATTTCTGTGCCATCGCCGGGAAAATCTCGAGTTTCCTTGGACTGTAATGCCCAGAGATACGTGGAGAGTCCCACCCGTTTCCCTTGATCCTAAAGGCTGATTTAAATGCTGCTGGTTTTTCCCAGAGATTTCGCTCTAATCCAGCATGTGGATGATTCCACACGACACGACGAGACTCCCCCGAAAGGACACAGCTGACCTATTACAGCAGCGAAGGGTATACGGACTTGAAAGACGAGCTTGCATCCTGTTTGCCGCAGGTGAAGTACCTCGGCCAGCTCGCACCTAAAGACGGGGGGCTGATGGACCCTGGGAGGCTCAGAGGGACCCTCTCCTTTTCCCTTCCAAGACCTGAGGCACAGCTTAGGGCCTTCGTGGGGCTGTCCGGGCACCGTCACAAGCTTTCCCACTAGTGGCTCCACCTCTACGCGCCTCATCACAGTCACATCGACTGGGTCCCTTCCAGCGGAACCCCGAAGGGAAGCACGGTGTGGGAGCTCGCAGGGGGGGTGTCCGAGCTGCGGCCCACGGGACACCTGTGGCCGAGGATGGCTGTGAACGGGGCCCGACACAAAATCATGCACTTACTTCAAACCTGAGTTGTTGTTTTTTTTTTGTGATTACGTGTTGAAATGTATTTAATGTGTGGCCCAACACAATCCTTCTTCTTCCAGTGTGGCCAGGAGACGGCAAAAGGTTGGACACCCCCGCTAGAAGAAGGACGAGTGGAAGCACCCACGCGGGGACCCCTAACTACAAGTGTCCTTTCTTCCCTCTTCTACAGGAAGAGGCAGGGCGCGCCGCAGGAGCCCTGACTCGGGCACCTGGGGGCCGCCCCGCTGCCAGAGGGCGTCAGAGCCCAGCAGCCGGAAGGGCTCCCTCCTGCACGGGGGCCACCCCTGTTCCCGAGCCACAGTATATGAACAGACATTTACTCACTCATGTTCCTTGTTCCGTCCAATCTTGGCTCAACTCTCACCACACTCAGCATTACTCGACTGGCTTGTTATGAAGTACTCCTGTTTCCTGCATCTAATGCTAGGTTTTTAAAATTTATTTATTTATTTATTTTCAGAAAGGAGGAGATGAAATATCAATGTGTGGTTGCCTCTCTCGTGCCCCCTACTGGGCACCTGGCCTGCAACCCAGGCATGTGCCCTGACTGGGAATCGAACCTGAATCACTGTGGCTTGTAGCCCTTGCTCAATCTACTGAGCTACGCCAGCCACGGCACCCAATGCTACTTTTGCTCAGTGTAAGTCTTAACCCAGCAACTTTACTACCTTCTTTACAGGATGAATGAAAACACCCATGATTGCATTTTACTTGCCGACCACCTTCTTTTATTTTTAAATATATTTTATTGATTATGCTACTACAGTTGTCCCAATTTTTTCCTCCATTGCCTCCTTCCAGCAATCGCTCCTCCCCTTAGTTCATGTCCATGGGTCATACAGATAAGCTCTTCGGCTTCTACATTTCCTATATCACTCTTAACCTCCCTGTATTTTGTACCTGCCAACTATGCTTCTTAATCCCTGCACCTTTTCCCCCATCCTCCTCCTTTCCCCCTCCCAGCTGATAACCCTCCAAATGATCTCCATATCTATGATTCTGTTCCTGTTCTGGTTGTTTGCTTAGTTTTTTTTATTTTTATTCTTTTTATTTAGTTTCTGATAGTTGTGAATTTGTTGCCATTTTAACGTTCATAGTTTTGATCTTCTTTTTCTTAGATAAGTTCCTTTAATATTGCACATAATAAGGGCTTGGTGATGATGAACTTTAACTTGACCTCATCTTGAAAGCCCTTCATCTGCCCTTCCATTCTAAATGATAACTTCGCTGGAGAGAGTAATGTAGGTTGTAGGTCTTTGCCTTTCATCACTTCGAATACTTCTTGCCAGCCCCTTCTTGCCCGTAAGGTTTCTTTTGATAACTCAGCTGACAGTTTTATGGGAACTCCTTTGTAGGTAACTCTTTGCTTTCCTTTTGCTGCTTTTAAGATTCTCTTTTTATCTTTAACCTTTGGTATTTTGATTATGATGTGTCTTGGTGTGGTCCTCTTTGGGTCCAACTTGTTTGGGACTCTGTGCTTTCTGGACTTGTATGTCTATTTTTTTCACCAAATTAGGGAAGTTTTCTTTCATTATTTTTTCAAATAAGTTTTTAATTTTCTGCTCCTCTTCTTCTTCTGGCACCCCTATGATTCAGATGTTGGAACGTTTAAAGTTGTCCCAGAGGTTCCTCAGCCTATCCTTTTTTTTTTTAATTATTTTTTATTCCTGCTGTTCTGATTGAATGCTTTTTCCTTCTTTGCATTCCAAATTATTGATTTGATCCTTGGTCTCATCCTCTGCACTGTTGGTTCCCTGTAGATTTTCATTTCGCTTAGTGTGGCCTTCATTTCTTCCCTTATATTGTTGCCATACTCAGTGAGTTCCTGGAGCATCCTGATCACCAGTGTTTTGAGCTCTGCATGTGATAGGTTGGCTATCTCCATTTAGTTTAGTTCTTTCTCTGGGGTTTTGTTCTGTTCTTTCCTTTGGGCCATAGTTCTCTGTCTCCTCAATTCAGCAGCCTCCCTGTGTTTGTGTCTATGTATCAGGTAGAGCTGCTTTGACTCCCTGTCTTAGAAAAGGCACCTGTGAATTGTGTGGGGTGGAGCCTTAGGTGATCACCAGGTGGGGCAACCTGCTTCACTGCTTTGTGGCTCTGTGTGGGGGGAGGGCTCAGAGAGGGGACAATGCCGCTACCTGGCTTCTGGAGGTTTCCCTGGCACTCGCCCCATTTCCAGTTACTTCACCCACTCCCTGTATGCCACTGGTACCTTTCCAGCTGTTGCCCTGGCGCTGATTCCCAGCGTGGGTGGGTTTGCCCATGTTCTAAGTCTGTGTGTGCCCCTTAAATGCACTCTCCTGAAGATACGGCAGTCTCTTCTGCCGCCCCAACCCCCACTGGTTTTTACAGCCAGAAGCTATGGGGGTGTATCTTCCCGGGGCTGGAACCCTGGGCTGTGCGGTCTGGCCCGGGGCTGGGATCCACCTCCCAAGGCGTCCCTCCCGATTTTTATCCACCTCACGTGAGTGTGGGACCGTACGTTCCACCACGTCTGCGCCTCCGCCCCTCCTACCTGTCTGGGTGAACATGGCTCCTTTAAAGCCCTGGTTGTCATACTGCCACACGGCTTGGTTTTCTGACAGTTCTGGGTGTTACTGGTTTTGACGTTTAGTTGTACTTCTCTCTGTGGTTGCTCGAGGGGGTGAAGTGTGTCTACCTACACCTCCGTCTTGACTGGAAGTCTGACCACCTTGCCCCTGGGAATGATTCACAGGAAATGCCCATTGAATTAAGAACAATCTGACAGCAACAGAGGGGAGGTGGCAGGGGATAATGGGGGGCAAAGGGGGAAGGGTTTTCAGGAACAACTATAAAGGACACATGGACAAAACCGGGGGAGGGGGTGTGGAAGCCGGGGTGGGGGGAGGTGGGGAAGGCTGGGGTGGGGGGCGAGTAATGGGGGTCAATGCAAAGAACTGTACTTGAACAACAATAAAATAATTTTAAAAAAGAAAAAGAAAACGCCCATTGATAATGCTGACTTATTTCTGGTTTGCAGATGGATCTTATCTCAAAGACAAACAGGGACTCACTCAGCTGGTTATGCAGTAACTTCCTGGTGGATGCACTTAGAAGTTCTTGTTTACCTGCAATGAGATCAATAAGCCAAATTAATTGCTTTGACTCCTGCCTGTCAATCGGCCAAAGATCAAATGGCCAACCTTGGCTCTGAGGCCAGCCGCAGTGCCCTCAGGGGCCAGCTGGGGCTCCGGCCCGTCTCCCGGCAGGCTGTAAACCACGGAGAGCAGGGTGCAGAGCTGTTCGGTGACACGCAGCTACCAAGACAATACTCCAGGGCATTCCGAAGCTACCCCCTTGGAAGGAAAAAGAAATCACTTAGCTGATGCTGCAACTTATTAGGCAGAGGTAAGCAATCCAGTGATCTGGACCCAGGAATGTTCTTTGCTCCCTGCTAAATCAATAAAAGATTCTGTGGAAAGAAATTGATAAATTAGCATATGATTCATTTCATACCGCGCTCCCAGGAGACAAAGGCTTGAGCGACCGCGGCGTGCTGTTGGCAGACACACCGGGGGAAGGCTCTCCCCGGCCTCCCCGGGCGGGCCGCAGCAGGCGCCAGTCACCAGCTGCTCCCCGAGCAACTGAGCTCTTGTCTGTTTGCTCGTTTGTTATGTGCAACTACAGTTAAGGGGGTTAGCTCACGGGTTCACGCTCCTCATCTAAAAAATGTACCCAATCAAGTGGGCATCTGCCTGTCTCTGACACTCGCCTGCACCTACAAGGGGCGTCAGAGACTCCTCCAGCACGAGGGGCTGCTGGCGTCAGAGGGGAACAGCCGTCCCGAGACTCGGACAAGGCCTGTGCACCTGCGGGTGGATGGCGAACTCAGAAACCGTTTTGTTCGATTGTCTTTACCCGTCTGCCACTGATATCAGCCATAGTACTAGTTACCCTTGTTCTCTGGGTTTCTCTATACAGTCCAGCTGTTGATGACTGCTGACCATGTATAAGATAACTGTTCATACCCTTTATGGCGTATGTAGCTGCCACTCTAGATGGAAATAGGGAAAACGAGACAGACGGCAGAGCGAGGACCATGGGAGGCCCGAGGGCGGACACGATGCAGGTGGTTTTCACAGCGCAGGCCGTCCGACCTGACTGCCTTCTGTGTACCTGCCCTGCCCTTTTCGGGGAAACTCGGCCTGGACGGACACCTCCTGGTGACGGGACTGCCCCGTCCCCACCGGCCAGCAGGAGGGTGTCAGTACCGAGACGTCCTGGGAACGAGACATCCCAGTGCTGAGACCTCACCGCCCGCCCCAAAGGCTGGTCCATGATGCACCCCTTGGACTGATTTATGGCCACAAGGGGCAACTGCCGGCTCACGTGAGGGGTCCCAGGATCCTTCCACTGAGCAGCTTCGGTGGTGGGGGGGGGATGAAGGGGAGCAGGGCCCAGCTGGTGAGGGTCCTACTCACAGTGACGAGGTTGTCTGTGACCCCGGAGACTTTCCAGATGACCAACGACCAGGGCTTGGAGTCAGGAGTTCTGTCAGGAGTTCTCCTCGCTCCTCCCAACTCCCCGCTTCTCAAGACCAACGCGCTGACGTGTCCCGGGGTGACAAGAGCTGCCGGTCAGCCTCACGCGCCCGATAAAAAACTTCCCACTCTCCTGGTGGGCCTGCCCCTTCCAGGTAAAGACGACCAGACCGGTATCAGGAATGTTTCCACGGACACACGACTTTGTGATCAACAATGTGTCTGACAAAAACCCCGTCAAACCTACACATTTAAAAAAACTTTGGAAGCAGTAAACTGGATTACGGAATCGAGATAAACTGACTGGGTTGCTCAGTTGGTTACAGCGTCACCCCAATGGGCCAAGGTTGTGGGCTCGATCTCTGGTCAGGGCGCATACAACCACCAATGAACGCATCAACAAGTGAAAATAAACCGATGTTTCTCTTTCCTCTAAAAAAATCAATAAAAATAAATAAATAACATTTAGTACAATGTACACACTATAAAATTTACCTTTTAAACTGTTCAATGTTTTAAGCAGTTCAATGTTTTTTAGAATGTTTGAAGTTGTGTGGGCATCACCACTAACTCTAGAATAATCTGTGTCTAAAACCTGCGGAGCTTTAAAATGTAGGGTTACCGTTGGTTTCGGGTCCACCTGTGGACCAGACAGACACGTGGTGGCGCCTCCCGCCGGTCGGTAAGGCCAGCGGACTGGCCCCGGGAGGACAGAAATAACAGCTGCGTTCCCACATGAGCCGTCGCGGTCGGTGCCCGGAGTTCCCGGGGTGGCGACTCAGCCAGCCCGGCTCACGACGCCCTCCTCCCACCGCGCGCCCACACTCCCGTGACAGCCCCTGAGACCCAGGGCTGGAGTCCACTGCCCCGAGGGCCGGGCCTTCCAGGGGACGTTGGCCTTTGGTCAAGACGCCAGTCCAAGAGGAGGCAGGCTCAGTCCCGTTAGCCTGTCCCCTGAGAGCCAGGTCGCCTCCTGCACCTTTGTGCATGGACACGGGGATCTGTGGGTCTGTGAGAAGGCCGCGGGAACTGTGGCTGGCGGCCCCCTTCTGGGATTCTTTTAAACGTGGCCTTCGGGTGGGCAGCCGCACAGGAGCGGGCGCTGCGGGATGCTGGCCTCCAGGGCTCGCGGGAGGTCGGAGGTCAGACAGGCTCCTGGAGTCTGCACCTGCCCTCCAGGTTCCCGTCCCCTCCCTCCGCCCCGCCCCCTCCGCCCCGCCCCTCCCTCCGCCCCGCCCCTCCAGGGAAGTGAGACGGAACAGAACCGACTCTTGCCCCCACAGCGGCCAGGTGATATTTTCGGAGTCAGGTCCCGTCGTGCCCGAGCTCCAAGCCTCCTGAGCACGAGTCACACTCCAGTTGAAGTGCCAGCTGCTCCCCCATCCCTCCTGATCCCTCCCCCGCAACCCCAGCAACCCCCAACTTTGAGGTCTTGGCCTCAGAAACCACTGGCTGCCTCAGGGCCTTAGCCAGAGCTGCTCAAGCCTCTTCCCTTCTTTCCTGACACATCTGTCTGCTCCTCCAGGAGCCCCTCCGTGACCCCGGGTCTGAGTCCCCTTCCCCGCCCCCCACCCCCCCCACACACACTCGGTGCCCGCATATGCTAATGTTTTCTCTTTCTAAAACATGCCAGCACCAAGGCTACATTGTGCAACAGTTTATTTGATTATTCCTTTATCCCTCCCAGGACAGAGGCCCCGGACGGACAGGGAATTTCCTGTTCTCTGACCCGCACGGCGCCCAGATGCTCTCCGGGTGGGGCCTCCCACCTGGGACAAGCCCCTCTCCGTCCACGCCCCCACCTGCTCTGTGTAAAGGTACCGCCGGGCCCCCGGAGGGGCAGACCCGGGCTTTATGTCAATGTCTCAGAGGTAGCAGCTGCAGCAGCTTCCTGGGCCAGGGGGCACACACAGGACCCGCTGCAGAGGGACAGAGAGAGCCCCACCCCACGCACATGCCAGAGGCCTCAGGACCCAAGGTGCTATCAGGCTCTCCTGGGCAGCCAAGGCTGGGGCCTGGGGGTCCGGAGCAGCCCAGGAGAGCCTCGGGTGCTCCAGGCAGCCACCTCGGCCTCCAGGGCGCCCCACATCCGCCCCCCCCAGGTGGTAATGGGAGGGGGCAGGGCAGAGGCTCACTTATTGCCAGCAGGTGAAGGTCAGGGCACTCAGGTCTGGGGCTGGAGGCCTGGGGTGGGTGTAGGGGGGACCCAGTACTAGTGGGAAGTGACCCAGGACTGGGGTAGGGCACCTGGGAGGGGTGTCCGGGGCCCCTGGTGGAGGCCAGCAGCTGTCAGGGCAGCGCAGTCCCCAGCAGCAGCATTAGCAGCAGCAACGCCCCGGGGTGTCGGTCCACAGCACACGCAGGGGTGCTGGGCATGGTCATTCCCGTGCGCCTCGTTTTCCCATCGCAGCACCGATCACACTGATTCCCCCGTGCACACGCGTTAAACTGGTTTTTCTCTTCCAGCACTTACAAGAACTTGATCACAACTTGTGTCCGAGCATTTGGATGTTTGCAGCTTGGACTCTGAGGCTGCTTACAGGCCGGACTCAGAGGCCTTGGAATCGGCCTGCGCTTTCGTTCCACGAGCCGATCCGGAACCAGGACCTGGACCAGCGCCGAGCGTGCCACCCGGGGCTCTGCCGCAGGGCAGCCCCACCTGCCAGAGAACCCACGGCGTACACGGGCGGTCGTCTTCCCCCGTGTCACTCATCTCCGTGATCGGCAGCTCCTGTACTTCTGCCTTTAGGAAACTTCCTCTATCCCACCCCGGACTTTGAGGATTTTATTTTTAGAGAGAGGGGGCCCTGGCTGGTGTGGCTCAGTGGACTGAGCTCTGGCCTGCGAGCCCAAGGGTCACCGGTTCGATTCTGGGTCCCCGGTGGGGGGTGTGCAGGAGGCAACCACACACTGATGTTCCTCCCCTTTCTCCTTCCCTTCCCCTCCATCTAAATAAATAAATATCTTCAAAAAAAGAGAGGGAGGAGAGAGAAACATTGATGTGAGAGAGAAGCATCGACTGTTGCCCTTTGCAGGTGCCCCAGACAGGGACCAAACCCACAACCCAGGCATGTGCCCTGACCTGGAATCAAATCGGTCGCTTTTCGAGACGCGGCTCAACCACTGAGCCACACCAGTCAGGGCTGAGTCCCCTCCACTGTGGACTCCCTGGTGTGCATATCCTTCCTGCATTCGTTCTGGAATGTTTGTCAACACCCCGTGAACCTAGTCTCGTGTCAGTTTTTATTACTTTATTGCTAGTCCAGGATTCAGAACTGCAGGATAGAGGGGGGTCTCCACTCGGCGACAGGTGTGAGCAACCCAGGTGTCTGTCAACAGATGGATAAATGCAACGTGAGTGGCAAGAGGGTTTTGTGGAGAGCAACCTGCCAGGGCCACCTGACTGGGAATTCCTGGGGGCAGGTCATGGTGGCTGGTCATGCCCCAGGCCTCTAACTCTTTGGTGGGAGGATTTAAGCTGCACCTCTGAAATACCAGAGGTGATACCTCTCCAAGAGGGTATTAACCTTCAAGAGGGCACATAATCTTGTTAGCTATTGAACTCTACACACTTAAAAATGGTTAAGATGGTAAATTTTATGTTGCACTTTTTACGGTATTTTTTTTTAAAAAAGACCCTTCTTCCTAGCTCCTCCCCCGCCACAGACCACAGTAGCCCCCTTTTCCACTGCGTCTCTCACTCACTTGAGGGCGGACTTGGCCCCCAAATCCCAGGGTGCCTGCTCTCCCCACCCAGCACCCCCTGCCACACTCCCCGCCTGCGGAGCCCTCCCGGGTCCTCCTCACTCTGCTGAGGAACTCTCACGGTCAGGCCTCTCCCCCACACCGGCCCCTGCCTCCGGTGGCCCCCTCTGCTCCCTGCCTTGTCCCCCTGTGGAAGGGGGCAGCGTTTGCCAGCCTGGACTGCGCCTCTTTGGGGGTATTGATCCCTTTGGGCTGGGTCATTCTAAGCAAGAGCAGCCGTGGAAGGAGCCCTGGGAACCAAGTGGGAGTTACTCCTGGGAAAAGGACGAGCAGGTCAGCGAGGGAAACCTCCGTCTGCAAGGGCAGTTTCCTCGCTGTCCCGGGAGGACCAGCCTCTTTACGTTCCTAGAGACTCCCCACGGAGGAGGCAGGCGCTCCCTTCTGCCTGCACAGCCCTGCATAGCCCTGGCTATGCGGGGCCGCACCTCCTGTGACGGCCTCCCTGCCGCCAGCCGCTGCTGTCCTCGTGCGCCGACGCTGGCATTGCAGGGCCCGGCTTCCACCGAGTCGGAGGGTCGCCCGGTTGCCCCTGGGTTTCTCCCATGTGTAAAGGAGGGGTACATGTTCTTAAACTTGTTCTCTGCTGCTCACCTGTCTCGTGTCAACTTGCTTATTAGACCAGCCAGAGCCTAGAAGGTGTTACAGGGAAAAATCGCAGCCCCCAAAAGGCATCATGTGCGGTGCTAAAGCGGCCGGGTGGGGCTCCAGACCAGGCACATCCAGGCGTGCTTCTGTGGACCCTGCGGTGCTTTGTGCTGAAAGCAGTTTCAGCTTCAGGCACAAGAGAAACCCCTGCCACTCCCCTTCCCTAGCAGAAACGGAATTTAGGGGTCTGGTTCCTAAATGAGAGGATCAGCTATAGCCTCCTGCTGACCCGCCCGTGCGGCGGGGCAGATTTCTGTTTACTAACCATCTGCTCTTCTTTTCCTCCTGCAAGGACCCAGGGAGGCCCCCAGGGCACCTTCCTGCCCCTAGGTCGGAAGGTCACGTCCCTTTCTGTCTCCGAACCCCTGGCAAAGGCAGGGTCTGGGGCCGGCGTGTCTGTGGGGCGCACACCTACGGAGGCATCACACTTGGTGTCTTCCCCGGCTGATCTGTCCCCTGTCTGACCACTGGGCCAGCCGGGGGAACCTTGAGGGTGAAGTTTCTTCCTCCCCACACTGTCCATACGTGAAAACAGACGTGCAACACTCCCGCAAAAGCCAAAGACAGACAGACGGATTTGGGAGAGGTCACATTACAGGAAGGTCTTCAGTTACAGCCTCACTCGGTCCTGTGTGCGCATTCAGGCCCCTCATCCCGGGTGAAGAACGCACCCTCCCCCACACCCGAACCCTCGTCTGGGGGTGTGAGAGGCACCGACGGCTCTCCTCTTCCTCCCGGCCTGCCTTTCACCAAGGCTCCCATCTTCCATCTGCTCAACACCCCTCCCGACTCCAATTACCCCGGAAACCGGGGTTTGACCCTGGAAGGTGGCCTCTGGGGCCCCGCCTCTGCAGAGCTGCCCCCACGGGCCGGCGGCCTGGTCTGCGGTCCTGCGCTCCCCGGCCACCACGCTGTGGCCCCATGACTGCCGGCTGCGGAGGTCCGCCCCTCACCCTGCACTCCCTGGTCTGGGCCCAGGCGCAATGAGCGCGGTCCCTAGGGGCTGCGCAGAGGCAACCGGGGCTTGTCAAGGCCAAGACCACTGCCCTGCTACCCGAGTCCTCCAGCCGAAAGCCTTAGGCAGCATTTTAACCGAGTGGAATATCAGGTCGCCTGTCAGCAGAAATTTTATTTACTGGAATAATGGAGTTTGATGCACCCGTTGCTGACTGTTCAAGAAGCCTTTCAAACTCGATGTAGATCCATTCTTGCTAATGAAAAAAAACCCTTTTTTTTTTAGTTTTAATGTTTATCTAAGTCATACATGAATGTAGAGTGTCGAAGAGACCGTTTGTTCCAGCAGAGCAACCAGCAGGCCCCTCCCCCGTTTCCCGATCGCAGGAGCAATCACCTTCCCTCTCTCGGCCTTCTGTTTCGGTGTTAACCGGTTCCCGAATCACACCCTTGTTCCTTTTTGAGCTGCAGGCCCCGGGTGGGGACCTGCCGCTGGGCAGGGAACCGCCCTGGCCGCCTTCGGCAGCAGCGACCCGGACGGCCGGGGCCACACGCCCGCTGGAAGGGGGCCGCTGCGTCTGCTCTCTGGGGCGCACACCCCCCGGGGGGCTGTCACACGGGTCCCTCTCCCTGTGGGAGTCTCCGCGGGCTGCTCTGGCCCCCTCACAACACGGGGCGGCTGGCTTCCGGAGACAGGAAGGAGCGGCCGGTGTCCTAAGTCCTGGGCCCGGAGAGCCGCCCGCGTCACTCTGCACGCGTCTGCCGATGGGCGGCCACACGGCCTGTCCAGGTTCAAGGGAGGGGATGCAGGTTTTCTATTTAATTAATTGATTTAGGAATGTTACATATTTAAGATGTACACGCAACGATTTTCAAAAGATTTTATTTTAGAGGGAGGGGAAGGGAGAAAGGGAGGGAAACACGGACGTTTCGGTCTGGGTACACACCATGAAAGGACCACCGTACTCAAGCTCGTTACCACACCCGCCACCCGCCCCGTGGTTGCCACGCCGTTTTGTGGTAAGGACGCTTAAGGCCTGCCCTCCTGCCCTGGGCGGGTTGCTCGGCGGGTTGGAGCATCACCCCCGTCCACCAAGGCTGTGGGCTCAGTCCCCGGGCAGCGCACACGCAGGAACCAACCACTGCGTGCACAGATCAGTGGGCCAACAAATCAATGCGCGTCTCCCTCAAAACCAGTTTAAGAAAATCCACCCCTCAGCGAATTTCAAGCACAAAACAGAACTGTTGACTGTGCCTCCACGCCGTACCTTCCACCCCAGAACCACTGGCTTTCTGACCGAAACCTGGGGCCCTGACCCACGTCTCCGGGCTCCGCTGCCCTGCCCGGCCCCGGGGACCGCCGTCCTGCGGCCTTCACTCCAGGCCCGACGCCCCGCGTGAGGACACACGGCCTGTGTCCTCCTGTGCCCGGCCTGCGACACTTCGCAGTGTCCTCTGGCCGGCCCGTGGTGTCCCAAGTGGCAGGATGTCCTTTTCAGGGGTTTTTAAGAACTGATTTGAGAGGGTGTGTGTGTGTGTGGGGGGGGCGAAGAGACGGCGATGGGAACACAGAGCCGCGCTGCCCCCAGGAGTCCGGCCCCTGCCCCTCATCGTCCCCGACCCCTCCCCAGGGCTCCCCGCCCTGCCCGCTGCTGGGAGCCGCCCTGGTCGGTGACGTCGGTGCCCCCGTGTCAGCGGTCTGGACACACCCTGGCCGGCAGCGCCTTGCTGCATGGCCCTGTGGTCTGAGCAGCCGCACGGGGCCTCTGCAAGGTCTTCCCGGAGGCCTCCTGTCTCTGGGACCCGCCCCCCCGCCCCCCCACCCCCCCCCCCAGCTGCGCAGGGCCAGGTGCTGCCACTCCACGCCGGCCGTCTCTGCGCCGGGCCTCTCCGCATTGGAACGGGAGGGGGTCAGTTTTTTTCCCAGGGGGGCAGGTTGCAAGATATAAAAGCCTGGAAACCTCCTCATCCAAATACCAGATGACCAGACACTCATAACTCCTCTCCCAGGTGCTTGGTTCTGGAAGGCTCTGGGCACAGGAGAAGCAAGGGGACGGACGCCTTGGGAACAGCAGGATGGCCGGCCTGAAAGCTGACCGAGGTGTCGGAGGAACAGGAGGCAGGTGCAGTCACATGTCCTTTGTCCCCTGTGGCACCAGCCTGGTGCGGAGTGGACAGTGGACCACAGCCTGCTGGTGACAGATACAGGCAGCCATGACCAATCTGGGTCATGGTCATGACCCAGTGTGCTGTATTTTTCTTTGAAGAAAGTACACTACAGCCCTGGCTGGTGTGGCTCAGTGGACTGAGTGCCGGCCTGCAAACCAAAGGGTCGCCAGTTCGATTCCCCGTCAGGGCACGTGCCTGGGTTGCAGGCCAGGTCCCTAGTGGAGGGGCACGTGAGAGGCAACCACACAGTGATGTTTATCTCCCTTTCTCCTTCCCTTCCTTTCTCTCTAAAAATAAAATCTTTAAAAAAAAAAAAGAAAAGAAAAGAAAGTGCACCGTAACTAGACCAGATGGACTTGTATCTGGTAACATCAAGCCCCTGGAAACGGCGAGGTGAGCCCCAGGCCCTTGGTTACCCCGGTTCTCACGCTCATTTCTGGCAGCTCCTGGGGACGCCAACCTGTAACCTGCGGCCCCCCAGGTTGTTGGGGACGGAGTACAGGCTGAGATCAGGCCTGCGGGGAGGGGGTGCTGTCCAGGGACCCACCGCGCCTGTCCCTGCGTCCCTGAGGTAGTGGGACAGGGATGTCAGGATGCCAGAGCCGTGACTGGGCCAGGCTGGGCCGCCGGGGGCCCGCGCTCTCCCTGCAACCCCCGGCTGTGAAGGCGGGTTTAAGGGCCCCCTCACACCCGGCAGGCCCCGGGCCCCCTAGCTGTCCCTGCTCCTGGGTGTGGCCGGGGTGCGGGATCAGGACTGAAGGCTCTGAGGTTCCTGCCGGACAAGGGGTGGGGCCGGGGCCAGGGCCCTGGCCTCGGAGGAGGGGGAGGGGTCTCACAGGACCCCGGCCCGATCCTGCGGCCCAGCGCCGGGCAGGCAGAGAGGAAACGGTGTGGCAGGGAGGGACACAGCCGCTGCAGCAGCACGGGGGTGCGAGCTGGCCGCCTTGCATACTGATTACTCTTCTCATCAGCTGGAACGAGGTGCCGGCATCAGTCGGCCGTGTGGCCAGCCCTGTGCATCGCCCTGGAACTGACAGGAGGTCTCCCGAGGGCGGCGACCCCAGCTCGGCTGTGGGGGCGGAGCCTGAGCCGCGTCCCTGGCCCCCGGCCCAGGGGCACGCCGCCGCCTGGTCTCCCGGCAGCGGTGCCTCGCACACCAGACCGCCCTTCACATCTGATTTTATTCCATGACACTGATTCGCTGCGGAGCCCGTTCCCGGGGCGGGGGAGGCCGGGGGGCCGGCAGAGCGGGGCTGGCCTCCCGGGGGGACCGGCAGGCACCACTCCGCCGCTGCGAGCGCTGGCCAGGCCTCAGTCCTCCGGCCAGCACCCCCGTCCTCTCCAGTTCATTTAAAAACTGAGCTGCAAAAATAAAATAGAATGAAAAAAAATAAAAATAAAACCCTGAGTTATTAAAAACCAAATTAAAAATCCCCTTTGGTGCCAAAAGGTCCTCTTCCGGAAGCCAGCGGGCGGGGCTCGAGGTAAGCGGGGTGCTGGGACGCTGCCTTCAGTCCTCCCGCTCAAGGTCACGGTGGCTGTCCTCCTCGTCCTGCAGGTCCGAGTGGTCCCCGGCACCCGGCCGCTTGAGGAGGGCGCTGTACTTGAGGGCGGCGGCCTCCGCCTGCAGCACCACCTCCACCAGGCTGAAGATGGTGACCACCTGCGGCAAGCAGGGCCGAGCGGTAACGCGGGTGCGTCTGGGGGGGGGGCGCCCACGGGACAGCGGGGCCGGGGCCTGCGGGCGCTCTCTGTCCAGCTGGGCCCCGGGACCACCCCCTCTGCCCCTTTAGGCCTCTCTCTGGCGATGGTCCGAGAGCCGAGTCCACTCAGGTCCCGAGGCCACGGGGTCTTGGTGCCCAGCGCACAGTGGACCCTCGGCGTCGGGGATGGAAGTGGGGCCTGGGCTGGCCTTGGAGCACATCGTGGGCAAGAACTGTTTTATGCGATGCCGTGGGCAGGGGGGCCGTGGGCAGGGGGGCCGTGGCCTTCGTCAGGTTCTCAAAAGGGCCCCCCAAAGTTAAGGGCCCTGCTTGAGAGACAGAGGCAGAGCCTCCCCACGGCCTGCCCCTCCTCACGGCAGGCACCCCGGGGAGGGAGGGCGGAGCCAGTAAGGGGGTGGGGGGGGTGGCTGTGGGTGAGCTGGAGCCCGAGTGCCTGGGAGGCCGGGGCAGTGTGTGCCCCAGGGGCAGGAGGAGGGCGGGCGCCCCAGGGCCGGGGGTGGGCAGGGTGCAGCGGTGCTCGGGGAAAGCTGCCCGGCCCCGGGTCTCACCTGCTGCACCGGCTCCTGCTCCATGTCCACAGGTTCCCAGGTCAGTGTGAGCTCCGGCTTCTTGCCCACTCTCCGGAAGTGGTGGGACCGGAGGGGCAGGGCCTAGGGGGGCGCACACCTGGGTGTCAGGCCCTGGACTCTGGCTGCCACCTCCTAGCCTTTGACCCTGCCAAGTCCCGACACTGGGAAGCAGCCTCCTGCCTTGGCCCACTGCTTACTGGCCTCCAGGGAGCTCCCCGCCCCGACGCCCAGCCCGGCAGCTGGCTGCTCGACTGTCCAGGGGAGACCACCACCCCGCCCTCACCGCCTCTGGCCAGCTCCCCGGAGGCTCCGCTGGGCCCTCTGTGGCTGAGGCGGCACGGTGCCAGGGGCTGGGCCCCTGGCTGTGTTGGTCCTTCGGGGGAAGCGGCGGGTCTGTCCGGCTCAGCAGGACGTGGGCCGAGGGGGAGCAGGCACCTGGGCCTGGGGGGCTGCCGCCCCCTGCTGGCGCTGGATCTGTTAGCACCCACTGAGGGCTGGGCTGTCTGGGAGGTGACCTAGACCTGAACTTCTGTCCTGCTCAAGGAACCTCAGGACCTCAGGACGAGGACCCTGACTGGTTCCAGCTGGGCCCTATTCTGTCTCTTCTAGAAGTTTTTACTCCATTTTGTCGGTATCATATTTATTCCATACTACGTGCTTTGGATGTTGAGAGATTCAAAGCCAGGGCTGGGAGCCAGGTGGTGACCTGCTAACCAGGTGGGGCCGAGGTCGGCTGAAACAGCTCCGCCAGGGGCCGTAGGTACCAAGAACCTGGAATGACAGCCACCCCGGCCAGAGGCTGGCCTTTTCCTTTTGTTTAGGGGACATGGCTTCCACAGTGGCCGTGGACCGTTCTTTCTGCTTTTTCCTTCCTCCTTGTTCCTATAAAAAGCTCTCGCAAAGCCTGCATGCCCCGCCGCCCTGCGTTGGTTATGGAGGGACCTGTCTTCTAGCCGCCTGGGTCCTTGGAGAAGAGGCCCAAGCCTGACCCCTGGCCTGGATCCTCCATCCCAGCAGGTGCGGCTGGGTGTCTTGGCAGGGCCCACGGGTGGGCTTGGTGCTGGGTGAGGGTGGGGGACAAGGTCAAGGTGTCTCTATTCTCTGCCACCTTGTGCCAACACGGCCCACACCTAGGCAAGGGTACGGCTTGGATCCCCCAGAGTGGACAGGGACAGCAGGGTCCTCGGCCTGTGCCACTGTCCTCATGCTTGTGCGTCCACGGAGGGCCAGCCCTGGGCCAGGACCCCACCAGATGCCGGGGACTGTGGTGGAGACCCCAGCAGAGGGAGCTGGCACAGGCAGAGGACACAGAGTGTGTACAAGGATGCAGCTCGGAGCCTGTGAGCAGGATCCTGAGGCACAGGATCCGTGTGGCCCTGGCACCCATTTCCTAGTCGGCGCAATTCTGTACCCCACCGCTGGCCTTCGCCTGCCCAGAGGGCCCTAACTCCGGCCTGGGTGCCCCCCGCATACTCACGTTGCAGTAGATGCGTTTCTGCACCCCGTAGCGCAGCACCAGCACGTCGAAGGCTTGGTTCAGGACGCCCAGCACCATGGCCTCCGACTCCAGGGGGCCACTCTCCTGCAGGGCAGGGCAGGGCTCCTTCCAAGGCTCGGCCACGGGACATGGCCTCCCCCCAGGGTCCCCCAGTCCCCCTCCAGGCCCCCCCAGGCCCCGTGTGAGCAGCTGCCCGGGAGGGGAGAGAGGGCGAGGGGAAGGGGACGGGGAGCCAGGGCGGCGGCCTCACCCGGACCAGGACGGCAAAGAAGAGGCTAGTGCTGAGCTCCTGCACGCGCTTGGACGCCATGCGGCGGTCATTGCAGTGGTCGGCCTGTTTCTGCACTTCGCCGGGCTCCAGGTCCGGCGGCGCGCTGTGCCCTGGAGAGAGGGTGCTCTGTGGGCGCCGGCCGCAGCTGGGTGGCGGGCAGCGTGGCGCCCCCGACCGGGCAAGGTGGGGCCTGGGAGGCCCACACAGCACGAAGGTGCTGCCCAGCTCCCAAGGCCGAGAACAGTGGGGCTGCTTTGGTCAGGGCCTCGGACTCTGGCCATTCTTTATTTTTTTATAGATTTTATTTATTTATTTTTAGAGAGGAGAAGGTGGGCAGAAAGAGAGGGAGAGAAACATCGATGTGCGGACATCGATCGGTTGCCTCTTGCATGTCCCCAGCAGGGGACCGGGAATGCAAGTGCCCCGACTGGGATTCGAACCAGAGACCTTTCGGTTTGCGGGAGGACGCCCAGCCCACTGAGCCGCGCTGGTCAGGTCTGGGTTTTGATGAGCCCCAATGCGGCTCCCCTACAGGGGCTCCCAGAGGGTGAGGTTCAGGCCCAGGCTCCCTGCTGCCTCGGCGCTTCCGCAGCCCCAGCGGCGAGGCCCTCCTGGTCACCTGCTGGGGGCAGGCGTCCCAGAGCCGTGCCCCCCCCCCGAGCCCCGCGCCCCCTTACCCAGCGAGGCGGCCAGGAGCCGGTGCACGGTGACGTCGGCGAAGCGGCGGATGGGCGAGGTGAAGTGCGTGTAGAGCGGCACGTTGAGGGCGTAGTGCCGGAACTGCGCCTCGTCCCGCAGCGCCCCCGAGCAGAAGTACAGGGCCATCTGGGGGGGCGGGGGGGGTCTCAGCGCCCAGCTGGCGCGCGGGGGCTCACCACCCTGCCCACCTCCGCCCCGCTTGCCCCCGATAACCCGGCCCGAGGCCCAGACCCGGGTCTGGGTTCATAAGACCCTCCCGCAGGGCAGGGGTTACAACTGGGGCGCAGGCAGGGACACGGAGTTGCTCCAGGGCCTGGCGAAGAGCCCCCGGCCGGCCCCAGAGCCGCACGCTGGGGGTCCCAGCCCCAGGCCCCGGAGCTGCCTGCCCTGCGTCTCCCGCTCCCAGGCTGGGCACCGAGGACGCCCGGCTGCCTGCAGGCCGATGAACAGGTTGGTGTCCAGAGCCAGGGTCACGCCCCTCGGTGCGCTCGCTCAGCCCAGCGGACGGCCGGCTCCAGTTACTCTGCTCTGGGCCGGGCCTGGGGCTGGTGGTGACCGCCCGGCTCCCCGGCCCGGCTTCTCTTCCAGCTCCCGCGGGGCCCCAGGTTATGTCCGGGGCAAGGCACCAGGGGAGGTGGCAGCTGCCTCCGCCCTGAGCCCCGTCTGGGCTTTGCTCTCAGAGGAGGCGCGGCTCCCCACGTGAGCCGGGGTGAGGAGGGCCGAGGACCCCGGCCCCCTTCCTGGCCGGCGAAGGCGTCTCTGGGCTGGGTGGGGCGGGTGGGGCCCGGGGCTCTCCCACAGAGACCGGCCCTCCCGGGACCGCCCTGGTGTCCTGTTCCGGCAGTTCACTCGGGACTTCGCTGCGCACCGCTGCCACCCTGCCCGGTCTCTGTCCTGCCATCGGATCCCCAGGCAAAGGCAGGCCTCCGAGGTCGCCGGCAGGAAAGGCCAGGAGAAGCTGTCTTTTCCAGGCCCTGGGTGACTCTGGGAAAGGCTCCTTTCCATGGAGCTCCAGGGCTGGTGTGACCTTGGGGACGGCTTCCAGGGGCAGGGGATGGGGAACCCATGGGCCCCGCGTGGCCCAGCCAGGGAGCATTTCTTGGGACCTAGGGGCAGTTGGGGGCAGGGCAGTGCCGGGCCGGGTGGCCACAGGCACGCCCCGCTTCCCGGTGTGGGGTTTAAGGCACAGTAACGACCGGGCCGGGTTAGGGCCGCCAGTCCAAACGGGCCCCGAAGGCCCCGGCCCCGGCAGAGCGGCGAGATGCCAGGAGAGAGCCAGCTGTGGCCAACGGGGCAATCTGGCTCCCGCAAAGAGGGCGGACCCTGCTGAGCGGAGACCCTGGGGAGGGTCTGTCAGCGCCCCAGCCAGGCTGCAGCCCACAGCTGGCCGCGTCCGCACCCACACCCGCAGCTCCTGCCGGCCTGACCTGCCTGACCGGCCTGACCGGCCGCCGGGCTGGCTCCTGCCCAGGGTGCTCGGGCGGCGGGGGCTGAGGCTCGGCCTCGGGGGCTGAGAGGCTGCCGGGAGCCAGCCATCCCCTAGCCCCAGGCTGCCCGCCCATCATCCGGCTGCAGACGCGGGCCCACGGCCTGTTGCCTCTTCCCAGCCGGCGAGACGGAGAGCTCTCTGCCTCGGGCCCACGGGCCACAGTGGGGGCTACAGGGAGCATTCTTCCCCCTCCAGGATCTCCGTCTGGCCCTGAGTTGCTGACCCCCACCCCGTCCCCCCCCAACCTGGCCTGGCCTACGGGGACTGGGCGCTGAGGGCTCTGTGCGCGCCCGGCGGCAGCCCCCTGCCTTCTGCCGGGAAATAGAGCTGGAGCCCGTGCGGAGGGCAGCCAGGCCCAAAGGGAGCCGCTCACCCGCCCAGACATGTGGTCCTGGAGCAGGTGAGGCAGGTACGGCTGAGTTGGAGGCCGCAGATCAGGCTCAGGATGGGGCCCACCTGCCCCAGGTGTCGCCTGGGGGCGTCTTCCCCTCCCCTCCCCTCAGGTCCTGTGTGTGTGCAGAGATCGCGGGTGCTCCCGGGAGAAGGGGGTGGGTGGGGGGAAGCCCCCACTCACCTGCATAGGCCGGGAGCACATGTTGGTGAGCACCTCCTTCCGGGCCAGGGAGTACTTGTCGTCTCCAAATATTCTGGTCAGGCTTTCCTGGAAGCAAACCCGTGTGACATGCGGTCAGGCTTGGGGAGAGGTTCTGTGGCCCTTGTCACCCACTGGGCCTCTGAGACCCGGCTCTAGGGAGGAAGGGTCACCCGAGGCGCCCAGCCCGCTCAGGTGGCCATGGGCGAGGTGCGAGGGGCCAGCGAGCCCCCAGCCTGGGTCCCCCACTGGGCCTGCCTCAGGGGCGACGGCTCGGAGGTCAGGCCTTTCTCCCGTGGCGCTGGCCTGGACAGGCCGTTTCCGGCTGGGACCCACGGCACCCCACCCGCCCGGGCCCGGGGCACAGGTGGGAAGAGCCTCCCGGGGGGCAGGGCTAAGGCCACGGCCCTCTGAGCTCCCTGCAGCTGAGCTCCACGCAGTGCACAGCTGACGCCATTCACCACTAAAAACACGCTCTGGCCCCCACGAGCCAGCCCAACCCTGGCTGCGGGACCCCTGCCCACAGCTGACCCTCAGGTGGTGCCCCTCGCTGGGGGTGAGCGCGGCCCACAGCCAGGGCCTCCTCGCTCTCTTGCGGGGGGGTCCTGGCGGAAGGGAACAGACCCTGGTGGGGGGCAGAGGCTGCTGCACCCCCAACTTCCAGGCCTTCCCCTGCTTCCCCCAAGCGGGGCCCCTCCCTGCCTCCCCTCACCCGCCGGCGCCGGGCACTCACATTGAGGGCTCCAGCGGAGCTGAAGTCCATGGGCAGCCCCATCTGGTCGCAGAACTCCACCAGGTCGTTGAGCATCTTGGCCTGGGGCGGGGGGTGCCGGCGCAGCAGCGCCGTCTCGGGGAAGGAGCGGTAGACCCTGTGCGCCACGGCCATGTTGGCCAGGAGCATGAACTCCTCCACGAGCCTGCGGGGGCGGGGAGGGGCCGGTCAGCGGCCGCCCTGCTCTCCGTCCGTCCCGGGCTCTCTGCTGGCAGCCTTTCCCGCACCCCCGGCCTCGGCCTGGCGAGGCCCTCCTGCCGCCCGATCTATGTGGTTCCTCGGGGTGCCCTCTCTCGCTCGCCCCTGCTCGCCTCGCACCGCACTAGCAGTCCACACGGCTCCTCTCTGCAGCGCTAGCTGGTGCGCCGCCTCCCCCGCCGGACGGGGCCCCGGAGAGCAGGCTGGGGGGGGGGGTTGCCGTCCGACTCTCCGCGGTCGCCCCAGGGCTTCACCTGCCTGACGCGCAGAAGGCGCCCGGGGAGGACCCCTGGTGAGTGACCAGCATCCCACAACACCCAGGGGCACTGCGGCTGTAACAAGCCAGGGTGGGCCCACAACCCCGTGCCCTTCCGCCCCCAGGAGTGCTGGGCTCCCCCCCCCCGGGGGACGAGGGCTTCTGCAGCTGAGCGGGAGTGTCCCAAACAGCAGGAGGGAACCACACATCGTGGGACAAGGCCAAGGTGCCGTGGGGGTGTTCCAACCCCAGACAGTCGATCTCTTAGGGGTTGACGCTCTGGCTTTGCCTCACTGGTGTGTATCAGAGTCAACAATATGTACGAATGGATACGGCTCGCCGAGGACCTGGGGGAGGAGGGTCGATGGCAGATGGAGGAAGTGGCCGGAACTGAGGCGACAGGCCAAGTGGGAGGCTGGACCTCAGAGGCCTGGGGTCAGTAACCCCCCAGTGCAATCTGGGGCAGCCATGTGCCGCTCCCCGACCAGGGGCTCCATGGGTCACACGTGTGCACAAGGCTGAGCCTCTGGGAGGGGCCTCGGGCACGTTCTGGTGCCGTGGTGGCCGGGGTGCCCTGAGTGGGGAGAGAGCGCCTTGCCCAAGACAGGAACGACTCTCCCCTGCCTTAATCTGAACCCCAGGCGGCATGCCCAGCCTGTGCTTCTCCCGCGAGGGCAGGAGAGGGCAGGGAGGAAGTTCCAGCAGGCCAGGGAGCGGCCTGAGGCCGGGCACGAACTTCCCTTCCTAGAGGTGTGGGTGGAGCTGCAGGGTTGGCCCTGTCAGCTCGCCAAGCTCCTGCAAAGAGAAGCAGCCGGTGGGGGGTGGGTGCAGTGGGGTGGAGAGAAAGAGCTCCGTGTGCGGGGCCCCTCCTCCCCCGACACCGGGCCTGTCTCAGCAGAAGTGCAGCTCTGCCACGCTTCCCCACGGCACAACTACCTCTCCCAGAAGCCCTCCCTACAAGCCCCACACCCCCAGCCCCTCCTCTCCAGGACTGCTTTGCACGGGCCCACTGTGGGGCAGGGACAGCCTGGGCCTCTGCTGGCCCGAGCACCTGGCAGGAAGCGGGAAAGAGGAGTTTCTTCATTCCCACCAGGATGCCCTAAGAGCCTCTGAAGTGGCCATCCTGACCCTTGCCCTCCCCACACCTGCCCTTGAGCACAGCACTTCCTACTGGAAAACCCTCGAGTTCGAGCCCCTGAACCCGACCACCAAAAACCTCCCAAGATGAGGCCTGGACCTGGTTCCACGGGCTCTTGCTGTAGGACCCTGAGGGGGCCACAGGCCTTTTCTGACCCTCCCGCCCCTCCCAAGTAGCACAGGAGCACTGAGCAGTAGCGCCCGTCTCCCAGGGCGGCTGCGGAGACCTCCGGAACAAGGGCCCACGCCGTGCCCGCCCAGCCCTGAGCCTCAAGACAGGAGGGGCGCTCTGGGACTCCCACCCTGCTACCTCTCCCCCACTCCCCAGGCCTTCCCAGAGGCCCGGGCTGCTCTGGGGTCACCCGCGTCACGGGCTAGCATCACCTAACTCTTCGTGGTTGGCTTCTTTCTCAGCGCCTGTCAGCCCGGGAGGAGTCTCAGTTCCCGGCCCACGAGCGTCCGACTCGATGCATCGCCGGCTCTCGGTCAGGCGTTGCAGGCCATCACCACCCACATGCTTCAGATGCATACGGCCATTCATTCGCGTGCTCACTCAGCAAACGTGACTGTGTGCCAGGCAGGTCTAGACCTGTCTCCCTGCCCAGTCCGAGAATCTCTGGGGGCAGGGGTACACGTGTTCCTCAGAGCCCCCAGCCTCCAGCCCAGGGGCCGGCCAGGGTGGAGACCCTGGGCTGCGTTTTGCCAGCGTGGCCAGCAGGGGGCAGCAGGACGCCACAGCAGGGCTGTGGTCGGGCGGCAGGGCAAAGTAGCCCGGCTGAGCCGGGACGGTGGCTTCTGCCCGACCCCCCCACCCCGCCTGGTCAGAGGAACGGAATGCTTGGGCAGCCTCCCCAGGCCGAGCCACGTTCCTGCTCCCAGTTCCTGCCTCACCTCTCAGGGTCTCAGGAAAGGAGAAGGGCAGAAAAGGGGTGGGGAGGGGGGGCCCACGCCAGGAGCCCCAGGCACTGACAACAGACCCCCGTCAAGCAGCTTGTCCAGTGGCCCCACCACCTGTCCCCCCTGGACGGCTGGTTTAGTGCTGCGAGTTGTCTGGGGCCGGTGAGAGAAAAACAAGTGTGCGCTTATCGACCTTGAGAGCCAAGTCTGGCGCAGCTTTGGACGCGGACAGGCCCCTCGGGGCCTTCGGGAGGCTCCGGTTCCCTCTGCGTGCCTCACCTCTCCCTCCCAACAGGGCGGCAGGGCCTGGGAGGGCAGCCTGCAGACCTCCTCCGAATCCGCCTGCTGATACTGAGCGCTGGTCCCAGAAACACGCCGGCGTCGCCAACCCGGGAGGCAGCGCAGCCCCGAGCCCGGCGCCCTGAGCGGGGCCAGTGGTCTCGGACGGCTGCAGGGGCCATTTCCCCACAACCTGTCCTCACCACCTGCTTGCACCGGCAGGTGGGGGGCGGTGCCAGAGAGAACCGGGCAGCGGGCAGCGTGTGAGCCTGGGGCCCGGGGCGGGCCCTGGAGCGCCCTGCAGGAGGGGCACAGTGCAGACGGGACTGGGTCCCCACAGAGGAGCCCGGGGACAGGGAGGCCAAGGAAAAGCCAAGCAGCCAGCAACCAGATTGCAGAGCTCAGGGTTCACCGTCAGCAACCTGGCCAGGCCCCGTGGGAGGGGAAACTGAGCAGGCGTGGCGGGGAGGGGGGCGGGGGGGTGCGGTGAGCGTCCCAGCTCTCCTCTGGGGCCAGCCGAGGCCCCTCTCACCACGTGGACAGGCCTCCAGGCCGGTTTGCTGGGAGGACCAGCAGGGGGCCCCCAATGTCTTCCTTCCGAGGGACCTGGGACGTGGCAGGAGCAGTTTAGAACCCAGGAACCTCAGGGCAGGAGCGGGGAGCCTCAGTGTCTGAGCGGCAGCCCCACAGCCCGAGGCCGGGGTCTCCGGCCTCCCCATTCGGTGCTTCCTGCTTCCCCGAAGCCGGAGGGCTGTGCTCAGCCAGGGAAAGCGAACCGCAGAGGGGTCAGGAGAGCAGCTCTGACGGCCCCCCGCCTCTCAGGCACACTGTTTCACCCCATCGCCTCGCTCCTCTGGGGGCAGGGCACAGGCACTGGCCCCCAGCCAGGCCTCAGTCGGCGCCCAAGCGGCTCTGGGTGGGTGGGGTGCGCCTCTGAGAGCCAGCTGCGCACAGGGCTCTGGGGACCCGAGGGGTGGGAGCCTGCGCGCTGCCCTGGCCTCGGACAGCGCCCCTCCCCCGACAGCCCCCCACCCCGGCATGGCAGACACATGAGATCACCGTCCCGCTGGGGTGGGGGGAGCGGAGCAGGGACTCAGCAACTGCCTGACAACTGCTCTAAGCAGGGGCTCCGGAGTGGCCGGCAGCCAGGACTACCTTCCAGAGCAGCGAGCCAAGCCCTCAGAGACAGGGCCTCGGTCCCACGCCTGGCATCTGCTGAGCATCTGGAGCCAGTGCCACCGGGGGTCCGCTGCTCCGGAGGTCTGGGGCGGGCTCCGCGGTGACGGACAGTTGCACGGCCAGCCTCGGGCCGCGCGCCCCCTCACAGCACCCTGCCTGCCTGCGCTCTGGGCCTCCGGGTGCTGGAGGCAGAGGCAGGAGGGCCGCTGCAAGGCTTCTTCACTTCAGGGAGGGGCTGAGCCAGCCCAGAGGAGCCAGGGTCCCTCGCCTGCTATGGCGGACGGCAGGTGAGACCGCCAGCAACCCCCACACAAGTGCACACACCCCTCCCACAACAACGCCCGTTCGGTCCAGAAGGGCACTGCTCAGAGGTGTTACTGCCACTGAAAGAATAAGGCGTCAACACATAGGCAGTGCTGGAGGTAATTCTATTGGACCTTTTTACTACGGACTCCGCTCTGCCTTTGAGACGCCAGTGTGCACCGCCTCATGACCGCACAGGGAGGAGGTGCTGGGCGCAGCACCTGCTGCTCACCGATGACCGCACCTGTCTGTGCTGCCGGTCCACGCCCGTCAAGGACCTGGGCCAGGTGCCCCTCGGCTCCTCTGGAAGGCGGGGGCTCTGATTTGTGTCTGCGGCTGCACAAGGCCTGCTCTGGTCCAGGCTCCTGCCCTCACCACCCCCGGCCCCGACCCTTCTTCCTCGCTCAGGCCACGCTGCCTGCAGAGGGGAGGCCGCCTACCAGCTCAGCGGCGTGCCCTGAACCCCAGCTTTGCTGCTTGCTAGCTGTGCAATTTCAGATCAATTTCTTAACCGCTCTGAGTCTCAGTTTGTTTACACGGAAAATGGGGATGCAATATGCAAGTGCCTGGCCTTAATCAAATATGACAATATGATTACGCACGCATCCTGTGGACGTGACTGAGCTGGGCAGCCCCAACCCCAGGGTTTGGGCTGGACACGGCAAGAGGCTTCAAGGCTTCTGCAGCCCTCCCACCACAGTGACACCCCCACCAGTGTTGCCCTCACCAGTGTCATCCCCACCAGTGCCATCCCCCACCACAGTGACGCCCCCATCACAGTGTCACCCCACCACAGTGTCACCCCCATCACAGTGTCACCCATCACAGTGTCACCCCCACCAGTGTCACCCCCACCAGTGTCACCGCCACCACAGTGACACCCCACCACAGTGACA